GTTTAGGCGTATATGTAGTTGTTGAAGTATCTTTACTTTGAACTGCTAAAATTGTGGTATCTCTACGAGTAATAAATTCAAAATGAACGGCATAGATATTTATTACTCTACCGAATTGCATGAATATTTATTACTCTACCGAATTTATTTTAAACAATCAACTTCTGAATTTAACCCAAGATGCTTATTATACGATGATAAAGGAGAAACCACTTAAAATTCGGATATGAAAGAGCACGACGCAAATAGTTCAGGTAAAAAAAAACCGTTTCCCCCATCTCTCTCTCAAGTCATGTCCAAAACTTCTACTAATTTACTCATTTTTCATATACTTTTCACCTCTTCTTAATTTTTATTATCTTTTTGAAAACTTATTTTCGATAGACATTTTTCACATAAATCCATATATGTTATTTGGGCGTGTGCATAAGAAACCGTTGTACGCAAATTTAAAAAAATGTATAATAGCAAGCACAAAACTATATTGTAGATTGCTAAAGAAATAGTCTAATCCCCTGAGCAAACCTTCAGATTCATGCGCTAGTTTCTTGTTCGAGTAAGACAGACAAACCACTTAAAAAATGGAGAAATGATTGTTTATAGTGTACATGAAAAAGAGTTTGTGAAGAATCCATGTGGAACCATCTAATCTTTATTCAATATATATTATTAAGAGTTTTCTGAAAAAACAAAACCTCCAAATGACTAGGTTTTGTGATTTTATCCTCGAAGTCGAAGAATGCAGGACAATTTATGAAGTTAGAGTCTACTTGCAATATAATCTTAAAACCAAAAGGGTTAGATAAAGTTGCTTACTAGGATCGTCCAAGGTGATCACTGCATCGGCATTGAGATAACAATAATCGCCCTTGTGGTTACAATGCTGGTCCTTGATAGTGTTGGGGTCTTAGTACATTTTTGACATATTAGAACCTATTGTACACTAGAGATTTGTCTTCCGATTCACATTCAAATGAAGATATAAAAACATTAGGAAACAGAGAAATTGTAACCAAACGTGAACAAAACAGACTTAATCATTCAACTAAGAGAAGGGAACAAAGTTTGTTAAAGACAAAGAATCATCATCAATCAAAGAAGAAAAAGCTTCTTCCTTTGACACCAAGCAGTGTATCAAACCGCCCGAATTTCTTGAAATCTCCATGCTCTCCTCTTTCAGCTACTAGGCAAGTCTTGGATTGTGATGCTGAGAACAAAGCTCCTCAAGAGAACAACAANTCTGCAACCAGAGGGACAACGACACCACAAGGGTCTGAGAAAGAGACTCCACAGAAAGGAGAAGAAAGCGGAGACGTCTCGTCAAGAGAAAGCACTCCAGGTTACAGGAGATCAAGCTCAGTGAACATGAAGAAAATGCAGCAAATGTTTCAAAACGCAGCAGAGGAGAACGTGAGAAGCATAAGAGCTTACGTAACCGAACTCAAAGAACATATAGCTAAACTACAGTACCATAAACAACTTCTCGTTTGTCAGGTTAGTCAAAGAATACAAACCATCTCTTTTTATCCTTTTATAACAAAACGAAAAGCTCATCATCATTTATCAACTTGTGTGTTAGGTGCTTGAGTTGGAAGCCAATGATGGAGCTGGATACAGCGTAGAGAACGAGGAGAACACGATACAGGAAGACGAAGAGCAGAGTCAAGTCGCGTGGCATATAACTTTCATAGAGGAAAGACAACAGATCATAGAGCTTTGGCATGTCTGCCATGTCTCAATCATCCACAGGACACAGTTTTATCTACTGTTCAAAGGTGATCAAGCCGATCAAATCTACATGGAAGTGGAGCTAAGACGGTTAACTTGGTTAGCAGAAGTAGGTAACGCAACTCCAACTCGAATTGGCGAAGAACCTGCAGTAGTATCTCTATCATCCAGGT